GAATAATCCAAAATTTCAATTTTTACTCAAAGTTTCACCTATCCAAGGTAAAAGCGGGAATTATGAAATCCTAACTCCCGCGCGGGAGTTAAGACCCTGTTTATGATTATCGTAACCAAGGTATTATGTGGTTATACCTAATAGTTTAGTAGGATATAGAATATATAATAAATAATTAATAACATAACATGTATAACAAAAAATACATTCTTTTCCGCACCACTTTTGAAGTAGAATGCAAGGCGGGTTATTTTTTTGACGTATCCCCAGTAGGCCTAATCCTTGCCTAATCGATGTTTTCAGGCATGCCTGAACACGTCAACAGAGTTGCTAAACAAAACAAGCCGAGAGAGTGTATGGAGCCCTTAAGGGGTTACGATGAAACACGACGGTTTTCATCGCCACGGTGAAACACGTCGTTCTAAAACCGAAGTGTGTAATAGAAAAACACGACGGTTTTCTACAGCGCCCCAAAGACTACGATGAAACACGACGGTTTTCATCGCCCCGATGAAACACGTCGTTCTAAAACCGAAGTGTGTGGTAGAAAACCGTTCGTGTGTACAGGGCCCCATACACTACGATGAAACACGACGGTTTTCATCGCCACGATAAAACACGTCGTTCTAAAGGGCCCCATACACTACGATGAAACACGACGGTTTTCACCGCCACGATGAAACACGTCGTTCTAAAACCGAAGTGTATAATAGAAAAACACGACGGTTTTCTACAGGGCCCCACAGACTACGATGAAACACGACGGTTTTCATGGCCACGATGAAACACGTCGTTCCAAAACCGAAGTGTGTGGTAGAAAACCGTTCGTGTGTACAGGGCCCCATACACTACGATGAAACACGACGGTTTTCATCGCCACGATAAAACACGTCGTTCTAAAGGGCCCCATACACTACGATGAAACACGACGGTTTTCACCGCCACGATGAAACACGTCGTTCTAAAACCGAAGTGTATAATAGAAAAACACGACGGTTTTCTACAGCGCCCCAAAGACTACGATGAAACACGACGGTTTTCATCGCCCCGATGAAACACGTCGTTCTAAAACCGAAGTGTGTGGTAGAAAACCGTTCGTGTGTACGAAATGTTGAACCGTCGTGCCAAAAATCAAGCTCGGACTGAATTTTAAACCAACGATGAAACACGACGGTTTTCTACCACACACTTCGGTTTTGGAACGACGTGTTTCATCGTGGCGATGAAAACCGTCGTGTTTCATCGTAGTCTGTGGGGCCCTGTAGAAAACCGTCGTGTTTTTCTAAAGGGCCCCATACACTACGATGAAACACGACGGTTTTCATCGCCACGGTGAAACACGTCGTTCTAAAACCGAAGTGTGTGATAGAAAAACACGACGGTTTTCTACAGGGCCCCACAGACTACGATGAAACACGACGGTTTTCATCGCCAGGATGAAACACGTCGTTCCAAAACCGAAGTGTGTGGTAGAAAACCGTTCGTGTGTACGAAATGTTGAACCGTCGTGCCAAAAATCAAGCTCGGACTGAATTTTAAACCGACGATGAAACACGACGGTTTTCTACCACACACTTCGGTTTTGGAACGACGTGTTTCATCGTGGCGATGAAAACCGTCGTGTTTTATCGTAGTCTGTGGGGCCCTGTAGAAAACCGTCGTGTTTTTCTATCACACGTCCTTCCAAAACCGAAGTGTGTGGTAGAAAAACACGACGGTTTTCTACCACACACTTCGGTGTTGGAACGACGTGTTTTATCGCGGCGATGAAAACCGACGAGAAAGAACGTAGTGTATGGAGCCCTTATTACACACTTCGGTTTTAGAACGACGTGTTTCATCGTGGCGGTAAAAACCGTCGTGTTTCATTTTAGTGTATGGGCCCCTTAAAGGGCCCCATACTCTTTTCACCGCCACGATGAAACACGTCGTTCTAAAACTGAAGTGTGTAATAGAAAAACACGACGGTTTTCTGCAGGGCCCCACAGACTACGATAAAACACGACGGTTTTCATCGCCACGATGAAACACGTCGTTCCAAAACCGAAGTGTGTGGTAGAAAACCGTCGTGTTTCATTGTCGGTTTAAAATTCAGTCCGAGCTTGATTTTTGGCACGACGGTTCAACATTTCGTAAACACGAACGGTTTTCTACCACACACTTCGGTTTTGGAACGACGTGTTTCATCGTGGCGGTAAAAACCATCGTGTTTCATCGTAGTATATGGCGCCCTGTAGAAAACCGTCGTGTTTTTCTATTATACACTTCGGTTTTAGAACGACGTGTTTCATCGTCGGTTTAAAATTCAGTCCGAGCTTGATTTTTGGCACGACGGTTCAACATTTCGTAAACACGAACGGTTTTCTACCACACACTTCGGTTTTGGAACGACGTGTTTCATCGTGGCGGTAAAAACCGTCGTGTTTCATCGTAGTATAATATGGCGCCCTGTAGAAAACCGTCGTGTTTTTCTATTATACACTTCGGTTTTAGAACGACGTGTTTCATCGTGGCGGTGAAAACCGTCGTGTTTCATCGTAGTGTATGGGGCCCTTTAGAACGACGTGTTTTATCGTGGCGATGAAAACCGTCGTGTTTCATCGTAGTGTATGGGGCCCTGTACACACGAACGGTTTTCTACCACACACTTCGGTTTTGGAACGACGTGTTTCATCGTGGCCATGAAAACCGTCGTGTTTCATCGTAGTCTGTGGGGCCCTGTAGAAAACCGTCGTGTTTTTCTATTATACACTTCGGTTTTAGAACGACGTGTTTCATCGTGGCGGTGAAAACCGTCGTGTTTCATCGTAGTGTATGGGGCCCTTTAGAACGACGTGTTTTATCGTGGCGATAAAAACCGTCGTGTTTCATCGTAGTGTATGGGGCCCTGTACACACGAACGGTTTTCTACCACACACTTCGGTTTTGGAACGACGTGTTTCATCGTGGCCATGAAAACCGTCGTGTTTCATCTTAGTCTGTGGGGCCCTGTAGAAAACCGTCGTGTTTTTCTATTACACCCTTCGGTTTTAGAACGACGTGTTTCATCGTGGCGATGAAAACCGTCGTGTTACATCGTAGTGTATGGGGCCCTTAACTGATTAGGAAAAATGAATTTATAGTTATTGCTCCGCAGTATACAGTATTTTCAATGCGCGCTCCCGCTTTATCACGCTATATCTCGTAAACGGTTGGTCGTACGCAAAAAATGTAGATGAACAATTTTGTAGAGAATACTATTTTACGTTTTGTCTAGGTTTTTCGACGTAAGATGCACTGGAAGCGAGATTTTCACTCAAAAACGATTTTCCTGACCTTCGGACTTCAATATCTCAAGACGCACAACAAGGGTAGGCATATGAGATTTTTTTGTGTTTCATTAGAACATCAAATCGAGGGTGTCTTCAAAAATTTAGCTTGTTCGGACTCATTCCGCAGAGGAAGTTTAATTTCCCTGGAGTACCAGGCTTATACGACAAATGCATTTGATAATTACGCTTGAATTATAGAAAAAAAATCAAAAATTCTCCTCCTCCACCCTCGTGCTTGGTTGCGCCACCCCATGGAACGAAATTGGTTAAAAATGAAAAAGTAGTGTGACATAGATTGCAGTTTTAGAAAACAACATTTTCGCGAATTTTACCGAAGACATCTTTATACCCATGTTTTTATTTGGTCCCAGAAAGTGATCGTTAGAACGTTTTTCCAATATCTTAAACACTATCTTAAATAATTTCCTATAGATGACTTCTAAATGGAAAAAAGTATCAGGAAAATGAGCACCTTTAATTCCTACGCTGTCAATCTTGGTGTCAAATGTGGTCTTCAGTGTCAGATTCTTAATGCTCAGGAATACCAATACCAAAGCCAAAACTCATTATGTAATAATAGAGAACTCTGTAACTTGCGGTGTCTTATTTTTAGAGAAAATTCAAGGCGTTTTCGATTGATCCAGGACCTCTTGAGATGGTTTTGGTGATAATTTAAGGAAAAACATGTAAACTTTGTCTTTGAGAAAGAAGTTACGAGCGGGTTTAATTTTAATGTAAGTAAGAAAAACTCGAACAAAATTGAAACGCTTCAACACAATTCACTGAGAATAGTACTCGGAGACACCAACAAACGTCCTCCTGGCAGAATCCAACTAAATGGACTTCAGCTTCAGACAGTTATGGCTGGGAACTAAATTTTTTACTTAAACAGTTAACATTCATCAACATCTGATCATTTCTTTGATTAAGGCCATCAAAATACATAACATGATCAATGGAAACTATTGGAGAAGAAAAGACATTCCCTACCTGGTTCTGGCTTTCAACCATTTCTTCCCTTACAGAAACAAAACAGAAAAAATTGACATACTGCCATGTTATAACACTAAATATGAAACTCAAATGAGAAACATCACTACCACCAGAATGAATTATTTTTTAATTATTATCATATACATTTTTTTTTGTATTGTTTTAATTTTTTTTTCTATCGACGCAGTACATTTAGTCACAAACTAACATTAGCGCAATCAAACTTTTCACCAGCGGCCACCTGAATAGCTGTTTGTGCTTTGTCGCTGAAGCAGTCTTCTAAAATTTGATTGGTATGATGTTTATACGCATCGTCTGGCGCGTTTTGAGGATTTTGAATTTCCAGTTTTCAAGTGCCTGTAGAAAACTCATTTAAGCTCGTAGATCTTTACTTTGCATATATACCTGAAATAGTCCCTCATTCAAGATTTTATGCTCAAATTACGTATTTACATTTTAGTGAAGAGCCCACTGTCTTTGCACAAGAATGTGAATCAAATCCATATTCCAATATTATTGTAAAATTTATCGATTTGTTAATAATATAATATTATTGTCTAATTGGTATTCACAAAACAGGCAATAATAGTATAAAATCAATAGTTATATTTCACTGGCACTTGACTCTTGACTGATCAAAGGTTCATGAAAAATCATCACAAAAAACATTTTTATGCAATACATATTTAATTGGAACTAGATAACAAATTCTGTCGGGGGCATATTTATAGTTGCAGCCAACACAGGTACTGAGTTTATTTGCCTAGTTACGAAAACTCTTATCACTTTTCTATTTGCCACATCGGCTTCATCTGAGGAATTTTCACTATTTGTTGACTCATCAAAGACTTCCACAACTTTCGTTTCCATTTTATAAGAAAGACTGGGTGGCACTAGTGGAACCTGAAATAAATGATTTAATTTGAAGAATCATTATAACAAAAATTCATGCTTACAGTGATAATGTACGAGGAAAGTATGTAGTTTGCAGGATTTGCATGAAAAGTAACTGCCAAACCTACTAAAGCTTTGTTTGGATTAATATTTTCCAGGCTTAATATGACTGTGAATTTCGGACCTAAGCCTAAAACCTGAAAAAAATTTGATTTTGTTGGCTATCTATAACAAGAAATCCCAATTTTCCATTAAGTAAAAAAAACTCTCTTGATCGATTTTGTAAACGATTTTTTCTTCCAATGAAAAATTAAAGCTTACCTGTGCTGACAATTTAATTTGTTCCTTTTCATTTCCTATGCCTGACTGATCAGCTAAATTTTGTACTAAAGCTCTTGCTGCCGATAGTCTCAGCCTTATTAAGTCTTGTTGAAAAGATTGATGAATTTCTAAAAAAAAAAAAAATTTGAAATCTACATCATCTGACTAGATACTGCCATATAGGTATAGAGTGTTTTTTATTCAATAATACTCATTCGGCCCTGCTATGAAAAAGCTGAAGTCACAGGACTTAGATTGGGATGCTAAACTCTATACTCTGTTTCCTTTTCGTTAAGAGCTCAAACCTCATTAGAAATTTAAATAGAAAAAAAAGGGTCGAAATCAGGGTGAGAATTGCATTACATAATCAACGATTATACATAAATGAAGCATAAATCTAGTTTCAACAATATTTCACCGACATATTCGATACCAGCTTGAATACAATAAAACTCCTCTTTCACAAATAAAATAAATAAGTTTTAGCCTGAGTGAGCAAATCAATCTGATTAATCCCGTGATTTATGCTGAGGTTGCAGATGAAGTATTTTGTCCGAACGTGACGTTTTTTGATGATTTTCCGCTATTGTATAGCAAAAAGACGAGGGGCAAAAAATAGTTCCACTCACCAAGAGCATTTTGTCGTTCCCTTATGCTCTGCTCCAAAAACAATTTACTTCTCTTAGGCAACGGTAATGGTTTTGATTGAAGTATCGGGATAATCTCTTGATTCTTCACATGAAAATCGGCGGTTCTTTTCAATATTTTGAAATTGATAGACCCTCCTACTGTTATAACTACCATAACATTTTCTTCTTGTCCCAGTTGTCCAAAGGCAATAACCGATGGGGTGTCTGCCACAGAGGTAAAATCTATGGGTTGTCTACCTTGGTATAATTGAATTGAACCACTTTTATGGCCTACGGCTACTAGACAGGTACTTATATGATCTAAAGGTACCAAACATAAGCAAGTTATTATGTACATTGTTTGTGTTAACCATAATCTTTGTCCCTAAAAATGTATTATTAAAAAAAAACATCAAAATATTTGCCGTTATTAGGTACCTACCCTTTTAGTATAACAATGCAAAGTTTTGTCTGACGTCGCCACTATTATAAAATTATCTCCAGGTATTAGGACCATATCGACAATATTTGACGTCAATTGGACTAGAGATTTGCCTTCTAGCCAACCCTTTCTAAGAAGACAAATGTGCCCTTCTCTGGTGGCCACTATAACCCGGAATTCGACGTCATAGAGGCCAGTGCATTTGATTATGAATGGAGTTGCTCTTATGTTACAGACATTCGTCTGAAAAAAATTAGTAACTTGTATTTCGTTTTTTGAAATTTAAATCATGTAGCGCTAATTTAGTTATAGTTTTTATGCCTATTCCTGATATGTGTCCAATACTCCACAAGTCCGAAGAGTTTATTAGAAAAGCTATACTTATTTAAAAATTTCATCCCTAAATTAGGTAGGTAGGTACGTAATTTGGTAAAAAAATCGAAACTGAATTTCTAGTTTACCAGATCATCAAAGTAGATCTACTCTAGCTATTAAAAATATCGAAATGCCCATGTTAGTCAAATAGTTCCGATAATGAACACCTGTAATAATTTTTGTTACCTGATGCAGTATGCTAAAATTTTGTGGATCTAAGAAATAAACGTTTCCAAATTCAGTAGCTATGATTGGACAAGCAATGGCCCCTTTATCTCGAGTCGATCGTTCAATAGTTGTCATGCATGTTATTATATTTTCTTTAACAGGCATTGTTTTTATGTATTTACGAACGTATTCTTCTATTTTTATTGGAGATGTTAGATTGAGAATGCACTGAGATCTACAAAGAAATGTCAAAATTACTTATACAGGGTTTTCCAGGGAAAACAGTCCACCCCGATTTTTTCGATTTGAAATGAAAATCTGGGAAAAAGCTCGGACAACACCGATTTTTTATTTGAGGGGGAAATATTTTTCAGGTTTACAATAGTCTACTTCCAAGATTTCGACAAGCTGTCATTTCGTTACGGATTTAAATGATGAGACGAAATTCTAGGCCTATAAAAAACTCGATGAAACCTTTGAAAACAGGGTGACACGACCCCTATCCCCTATTCAAATTTTGGGGGGTTGTTTCCCCCCCAGCTAGGGGGTTAAAAAAAACTGGAAAATAGTTCCCCCTCGAATCAAAAATCGACGTGTCCGAGCGTTTTTCCAGATTCTCATCCCAAATCCAATAAATCGAGGTATAGACTGTTTTCCCTGGGACACCCTGTATAGTGGTAGAAGTAGCTGGGAACATACAAAACCTATACTTCATCTAAAGTTTATTAGATTTTAATACAAAAAAAATTTAATCACCTATTTGGAGATTCTTGCCATCCTTCTGATGAGGGAGTTTCATCACATTTATAATTTTTTCCAATTTCTGTTTAAATACTAATAGCAATATTTACCTGGCACTTAAATTCGAGTACGAAATATTTTTGAGAACACTAACAAGTTTTTCAGTATTAACTAGGTTAGCCTCCTGATCTTGTAGGATCTCATTCCAAATATCTTTTTCTTCCTGCAATAGAGGGCAATATGGCACGCGAAATTTGTAATAGGGCTTCAGATTTTTGTACAAAAATAGTTCGGAACTACAAGCGACAGCAACCACTAAAAAAAATGTTTTACCAAAAAAAAAAAAAAAAAGAAATATAATCTCAAACATTGTTACCTGGTATTCTAGGTTCTAACTGGTCAGCATAAAAACTAATCAAAGAATTAGGTACATTAGCTAATGCCTGGTCAGAAGTCAATAAGGTCCCTTTATAAACTTTAAGCCTACATTTGGTATCTTTTTCGAACTTTAAATCGGTGATTACCAAATGATAGTCTCCAGTTCCTGCAATGTCTGCTAGAATTGCGTTTCTTGGTAAGGTCGTCAAAGCTGCACTGCGATCTGTGTGTGCTTCCAGCCATCTTGAAACATTTAAATCACTAAAACAAAATTCTCATTATGGTTTTAATTTAATAGTAAATGCTTAGCTTACCCTCTACTCATCCTTATTGCTTACAATATTTTCTGCTAGGCTTTTGTTTGTATTGCTGGGTATCATAGCAACTTTGAATAGGAAATCGCGCAAGAATTACAAGTAGCCGACTGTTACAGAAGCCTCAAAGAGATGTAGTTGTCAAGATATGGATTTCCTATTAAAAAACTGTAGCATAGCTTAGAAAGCATGTTCTCTTGACAGATCCTATCAGCTTCATATCTCTCAACTATAATTGGGCCAGCAAACATATTATATAGCAATAAATAAAACCAGGCTGAAGTGCATGACAGGCAAGAGGATTTGAACTGCTTTATACGATTTTTATAATAATAATTATTTAACTCATTTTTCAAACCGTTTCGAGAACCGATAGTGTAGAATCAAAATATCTAGAAACATAAGATTTCACATATTTTTAGGGTTTTATAAATGCAGTTTGCGGAGAATGTCAATTCAATAAGTGAAGCTAGATATGGAGAGACAAAATGGAAGAAGCTCAGAATTTTTTTGGATATTGAGAAATTTAATTGCATAGATACCGTACCTAAAGGATAAAAAATGACATAAGTATTCTAAACACATTATTTATTGCTAAATTCTCAAATAAGAAATCTCAGAAACTCAGGAATATTTCGATGCTAATCCTGACACCTTGGCAATGTACTGTTCCTTAGCATGGTTGGATGCTAGACCTTTTTTGCCATTCCAGGCGTTCCATTTGGTTAGGGCTTCTCCTCCAGTGGGTTTAGCTGAAAAAGGACAAATGATAATATTTTTGACTGAAATAATGATCCGTGAAACTAGTTTCACTTACCAATATTCACATCACCCACTGTGGCTTGTTTATACAGAGAATAGATTTCAAGCATGTCAGAATCTGAGGGTCTTTTTGAGAAGTTTCTCACTTTGCTGGCTGCCGCAGTAAAATCCTGAGAAAAGGAAAAAAATATCCACATTATACAACTTATTTTGGTTATCAAACATTTTTTGCGCATCCTCCAGAGTAACGCAGGATCGCATTTACTTAAGTATTTAAGGAATACAATTATGAAGATATAATAATAGGATGTATTTCTTTATGTGAAAGGGAATATAGTAGAATAGGCAATTGTGAAAGAATTTGTACTTACAGGGTTATGAATTAAACTTATAATACATAGGTACCTACATCCTAAATTAGAGGCCTTCGACTCCAGAACCCCGTCAAAAATGATAACATGGCCAGGCGGCAAGTCGTCCTGGGCATGAAAAAAGAAAAGCTTAACCTTGCAAACACAGGACAAAGAAAAGACATTTTTCGTTTTTGATAACACTACTGACTTCTCATGGTGACAAACGTGTTACGATGGAAAAAATTCATAGATGGGCAAAGATTGTAGCTACTCAGGAAATTATTAGACACTGCAAATCACTTCCAAGGTAGAGTCCCAGCAACAAGCACCAGTGGTAGCGTGGACGTCGAATTGACAAACTAAAACAGCATCAAAATCACCTACCGCCACGAAAAAAGCTACGAGCGTTTACAATAATCAAAGCCTCCACAGCCACTGAACAAGCTACCAAGCAAGGATCTACTACTAGAGACATTACAAATCAAACCACTAGCCAAGTTACCTCAACATGGACCACTGCTAGAACATTGAACAAGACTGACTACATGGAATAAATGCCAGAACATCCATCTAAAAGATCAACCTATGCAAATAACTAGCCTAGAACGACACCTTGGATCCACTACTGGGTACTCGGGTACCATTGTCAGGACACCAACTAAAATAGGCTGTAATCAACATTAAGCTTAACACAGTCTCGTACCAGAACGACAGGAAGGACTAGGAACCCCAAAACTCAAAGAATCGACAAAAGAAGTTCATAATTACCAGAACCAAAAGTCACCCAACAGACAAAGAGAGCAAACCTCAGGCACTGTATTAAGTACATACTTGAAACCAGCTAGGAATTATTGGCGCACACAGAAAACCAACTACAACATGAAGACAAACAAAAAAACTCGGAAAACAAAGAAGAAGACGCACAAAGAAGAATGTATTTGTAGTTTTAAGTTTGTTTTGCAAGCCAGATACATTTCGTCGGGCATTATGTGGGCCAAGGCTTTCGTCAGGAGCGTAAAAAGGCTCCGTGACAACATTGTCAGCAGTTTTCTACTAAATAATGGATAATGGATAAGATCAAGGGACAAAGTTATGGAGAGAAAAGTAAATATGAAATGAAGTTCATAAAATATGGCACTCAACACTTATGATGTGAATCCAACACGCGCTGGCTTGACAGCCTCATTTGCCTTCTAAAAATGTGCCAATCGAACTGTTTCACATAAGAAAAGATAGATTGAAAATTCAAGGATTTTATTTCAAACTAGTCCAATAGGCCTGTCTCTGCATAAAATTGTTTTTCATATTAATAGAAGATCATTTTACAGAATCTATAAAGAATCAATATTATGTGGAAGATTAGGCACGGTCCATGTAGGTACGATTACTGGCCTTTGCTGCGCATTCGCCACTTATCAGGAATGGTACATACACAAAAAAAAATTATTAATTTTTTCTCGTTTATTAAATAAAAAATAAAGAATCCTGCGACGACAGGAATAGCATTTTAGCTATTTTTCTGTAAAAAGAACAATTTTCTAGAGTAAGTTACCACTTTATAGTAGAGACGACACAGACATACAAACTTTAGCATTTTATAGATAGGTACCAAATTGTTAACTTACCTCGTTGAGTCCCATGTTGGATAATTCAAAAATACTCACTGATAAAAATGGCAAACTTATTCATAGAATTTCCAGTTATATACTACCTGGCAAATAGCAAATTTTCTCATCAAAAAAGTTTCTGACAATACAATGCTAGATGCATAAGGGATGTAATTTAAATTGAATGTCTCAAAAAAAGTAGGTACCTACCTACCTATTTAAAAGTTTTTGTGGATATATATAAGTTTATTATAGCTTCTAGCAAGATAGGTAAAATTAAAATTATGGGTAAATGAAACATAATATGTACATTAACTCACAGTTAAATTATTTATCCTCCGAATAGTTCTCGTCAAAGTTCGAGACCCGCGAAAGGCATTTCGTAGGTATAACAATTTGGCAAAACGCATTTCGACCCAGCTGAATCGGAGAATGCCTGTTGTTGGTAAAGCGAAAAATTGACCGGAAGCCCGTAGCTCAATAATTAATATGGAGGTGGGTACCTTTTCAATTATGGCTGAAATGGACTTTTATACAAAATCTAGGGCGCATTGAGAGGTTCCCGTCACCTAATTCATGATAATTCATGCTTTTGTAATGGAACTACTCCTCCGGATCTCAAAATGTTATCTGTGCTACGACGAATTTCAGTATGTCTACCAGGTATAAACTTCGGTAATTAAAATTGCTGTATATAGGTACTGGAATTCAACATAAGAGCCTATTCTCATTCCTCACTGAACAGACATCTGATTCATCTACTGTTCTTCCATTTTTTCGTAACTCAAGACTCAAAGAAAATGTATACGCTGGCAAACCTCAAAATCAGAAAACAGCGAGAATTTCCGGTATTGGTGGTCCTATCCGTGGCAGTTCTTTTTAATCTAATAACATCCCTGCTAGACGCCGGCGTAGAGTAGTGCCGACGAAGACTCTTTTCTCTGCATGATGAAGTTTTATGATCTCATGGAAGTAGCGTCTGTAACTATGCTGACAGGGATCAGTGATCAAAAGAAATTTCAATAATCACTTTTAAATGAAGATGGAGCAGGAAAACACTGTAGTTTATACAGCGTCATCTTGCTGAAGAAAACTGGAAAGGCCGAAACAGGCTTTTATGCTCCTTTACCCAAACACTCGTCCTATCAGATCTATAAAAGATCAAAAAACAAAACTGCGTGGGATTCCGCATGCAGGCTGAATAGAGACGTCATGAGCCAACAGTTCGTAGTTTCTATAACTGGAAGAAATATTGACTTGAAGTCCATTCTGAAGCACGAGCTATTTCCTATTCTTCTGCTGGCAGAGATTAATGGTCTAGGTACTGCGAAGCAGTGAAAAGAGGTCGATTGCTGAAATCTACAATCAACTGCTCTCCAGCTAACGTTTCATCTCAGTTGATTATTGATGGACAAGCAATGATCGTCGCTCTTGGCCGACATCTAGAATAACGGGCTAAAATAGTTGGTGGAAATGGCCATAAGTCAGCTGCCAGCATAAATAAGAAGGAATCGCAAAAAATATCACTAGCTTCATTTACATAATCAATTGTACTAAATGGGTTTCTGTGTTAATTTTATTATTTGTTATTATATTAGTCCATCGACTGCCTTTATCTTTTTAATTGAATTGCACTTAAAACAAAAACACCACTGCATGTGCCAATAGATGTCCTTGAGCCTTAAGACAAATTTTGTTTTTATTGTTACTACAGGGAAAACTTAGATTTGATGCGGACATATGCACTTGAATATATTTTGGTTTTGATATCTGCGTTATTATAGTACATATGCTACAGTTGAAATTCGTTTTCATCATAAATATGTACCTATTTTATGTGTGGTCTTAATAATGTCACGGATTCCGGATCCACTAACACGCCTATTAAAACTGACTCCATCAGAACTGACTACTACCTACGCGCTATTGATAGACGACATCGACTACCTCGTATTCCGGATTCATCTAGAAGTCATCATGGTAGGCGATCAGTCGATACCGAGTATGATTATCTCCTATTCTATTCTTATTGTTGTGGATTGTGCATTTTCTGATGGCTATATAAACCAATTCTGGAGCCGCACACTCTTCCACAGTCTTGGCACATTCCCTCTGGCAGTATTTTCTTCCTTTGTTATCTCGCTCCTTCCTGCGGTCTCTTGTCTGTGTCGCTGTTCTTCAAAAGTTTGCGGTCCATTGTGAACTACTCAACGCCATCATGAGGGCCTATCATTTGCCTTCGGCTTCGTCTCCCAGTTGCTGGTATCGATGCGGCACTTTGCCTTGAGAACATCTTTGTAGTGTTTGTGTTGACTCCCTTGACTTCGTTTTCCCTCTTTCAGTTGACTGTCGAAAATCTGTCGTACGGAAGACGTGTTTCGGACATGCAGACGAGGTGCCCTGTCCAGCGAAGTTGGTGCCTATTGATAAAGATGGGAGCCCTCATCAGTTGGCTTCCTCTAAAACACGAATATTCGTTCATCGGTCTTGCCATCTAATGCGTAGGATCCTTCTTAGGCATCGCTGGTGGTATTTTTCTAGGCTTTTCATGTGTCTTCTATAGATGGTCTATGTTTCGTAGCCATTAGTAAGTGTTGGTATTACAACTGCATTGTAGTAGCCGCGAAGTTTGGTCTCGGCGCTGATGTCGTGATTGTTGAAGTCTCTCTCTAGAAGTCGCCCGAACGCCGCGCTAGCACACTTCAAGCGATATTGGATTTCAGCGAAAATTGTTGCATTTGTTGCCAGGTGGCTCCCAAGGTATGGGTAGTGTTCTACGTTTATCTGCAAAGAATGGTCATTTATAGTTATATTTGGGGCTTGGAGATTAGTATCTTGTTTCAATTTTTTGAATCTGAATAAAGCTTTACCTAAATCCTATAAAATTGTTTTCGAAATTAACAAGTCTTCTCATTCTCAAAGTCTCTCAGCAAATTTGACAGGTCGATCTGATTGTGGTAGATACAGCTATCCAGGGCTTTTGTTTTATTAATAAAGAAAAGCAAATTAGGATGTTCTGTAGCATTTATCCATATCTCCTAGACTACAAGCGGATTTTTAACTTGTTTACAGCAAAGACATATAAAAAAAGGAATCTAGCAATAAATAAATAACTATCACCAACTTGATCTCCATCATACGTTTGGTCATACATCTGCCTAAAATACAGTTGTCTTTTCCAGAAAAATGGGAACAGATATTGAAGAAGTAAGTACCACTCAACCTATTCAAGATTGCTAATTATTGAAAAAATTAAATAATTATTTATTATCCATAAATTAATAGCATAATAATTTGCTACAATTTTTTTAGAGGTTCGACGCCTGTCATAAATTATCACAAAAGAAAGGATGCCCGCCTTCAGTAAATGATGGCTTAGAAATCTACGGGCTGCTAAAACAGGCTACAGTAGGGGACAATCCTAAAAGTAAGAGATTTTTCTAAAACTAAATTTGTTACTTTTTGAAATTTATGGCGACGAAAAGATTATTTTCACATCTGTCAATACGATACCTACATCATTTTTTTTGGCCAGTGTAAATAAATGGGGAAATAAAAACTAATATTGATCTAGTTAATAAATTACTCATCTTAATCGATAACGTCAATTATTTATACTCATTGCGAAATATTTTTTGCGAGTAATTGATTGCTAGCTTATTTTATGTACATATGAATTGGATTTCATTAAAAAAATGAATTTATTGGTGAACAGTATCAGAAAGAAGAATCTATTTGCTAACAATAAATCCTAGCATAATAATTTCTCTCAGGGCTAACTTCCCCTCTCACTGACCTAATCCTTATTTTGTCTGGTCGAATTTCCACATTTTGTTATGTTTCTATAACATCATTAGTTACCGTCTTCTATATTTATCTAATATTATTATCGTCTCTTTGCCTTATCGAATGATTTTTGTAGATTTATAAATGCACTCGGTACTTTTCCTTGATGTGCCGATTTTTTCTATTATATTCACTTTAGTTTGGAACTATTGTATCTATTCTATCTTTTTCGAAAACCCCTTGTGTTTTATGCATTGTTCTTTGTATGAGATCAGGATTCGGAAGACCTTGAACGTTATTAGTATCTCTGTTACAATACTTAATAGCTTATATGTTAAAAGTTATTGCATTCTGCCTTCTTTCATAAAGATGTTATTAGCAATGCTCTATCCCAGTCTTAAGGAAAGATTTGTGGATCCAATGCGCCATTAAAATCTGTATCTCTAAAAACCATAGCAATACAGATGAGTACGTACCTATACTATGTTAATTTTTAGGAGCATTAAAAAAATCATGAAAAAAGAAGAAAAATAATTTTTCATAGTCTTAGATTTCTAGATGTACATTATGTTTTTTAGTAACCGCCAGAGATATTCGAGAATTTGTGGAGTTTTTGCTTTATCCCGGAGCATCGCCGACAAAAATTTAATTTTTTGTAGGAATCTCGAATATCTATGGCGGCGACTATATATTATTAGAATGCCCAAGTATATTCGATTTGTACTAGGTAATAGGAAAAAACGTAGCATTCATGCTAACAGTCGGTTGAATGGAAATGTGGCAACAAGCGCATAAATATCGGCTTCAGCCAATGAGAGGGCGTTTTCAGTCACGTGATTTTTTGTTCAAGCTTGCCCTTTTTATTTATGAATTTATTTAATAATCTGACTAAAATCTTGAAAAATATTGTTCATTCTCGAATCTCGGTTGAATTCATGTATCTGCGTCAAAAAATATCATAATTTACCATATTCCCGGCACTTGCAAGTAGCCTATATTGCGAAATGTTTCCCGGAAATAATAAAGGAATTCTGGAAGTTTCTTTAGTTGCAATTATTGTGGTAATTTTTGGTTCAAGCTTCAGTCAACAGTTTTTTTTTCTGCTATAAATATCAGCAGTGTATCCAAACCAAAAAAACTGCTAGCGTTGGTTATATCATATCTTCAGAACTAGATTTAAAGTGAGTCGTCTAACCGAAGTTGATATTGGTTGGAAATCACTCAAAAGCATGGCAAAGCGAAGGAGATTTAACTCCGCACCAGTTTCTGGCCCCCAACAGGTCGATAAGAATCTAGCATCCAATAATGTGAAGTGCCCTGGGCAAACCGTATAGGTAAAACCGTTGCTAGCTCTCCGTCTATATGAGGATCACGAAGACTAAGAAGAGTGAACAAACAGTGCTTGCATCATTGTTTTTTTTTTCAGGATTTTGTTTGAAAATTGAAATAATTATTCGAAGCTACAGGGTGACACCCCCTGTAGCTTTTACCTTTAAGGCTCGTTTTTACAAGAAGATATGGATGAGAACCCCATATACAAAAAACTATATAAGTTTTGGTTTATATACATCACCAGCGCCCGTTCCAGTTCCCAATTTTCTGCCTAAGTTCTTTAATTGTAGAAAGTCCTGTGAGGGGCTTTTTTTCTTCTTCATCATGATCCCTTTTTACTCTGTTTTTGAAATCGAGCGAGCTACGCGAGCCAAAAATTTTATTACATCAAACCGCTAGTTCATCATTTTATCGAAATAATTTTTGATATTTTGCTTGCCAGACATCTGGCCGCTATTGCACTACCTATCACGAAAGTATTCCCAACTATCGCGTCCACATGATAGCTACTATCCGCTTATTTACATGGTGATAGTTTATGTGATAGTTGCTATCGAGACAGCAACTATCGCAAAAACTATCACCGTGAAAACGAGCCTTTACAGATACCTAGAAGAAATAAGGCATGCACACAAAAGTTGTCGAGGTTTTGATGAATTTTTAAAATCCATCGTCAAAAACAAAAATTGAATGTGGGAAAATGTAAAATTTTGCTCGCTTTCAACTATTTTCAAATAAAAATAGAATGCCCTATATTTGGTTCTATGTGTTACTGAAGAGAACGATTTTCTGATTCCAAAAATATATAGTTTGGCGTTTGCGTGTGTTTTTTTTTGAGCCGTCTGCGATATGTTTGGCTCAAAAATAGAAATACTCTCACCTACAGGTAGAATGGATCACAAACTCTAGTATATAGTCTAGAATATAAAAATATTCTCACATATATTATAATCGTCGTTAATTTTTACATTTTTTTTTTTTTTTTTTTCAAGCAAAACCTAGCGCATTTAACATAGTGGAAAAAGCAAAATGGAAGGCCTGGGACAAATATAAAGGACTATCTAAGGAAGAAGCTATGGAAAAATTCGTGGAAAGTGTAAAAAAAGCGTATTCGTGTTCATGTTAATAATAAATTGTGAAACTTTCTTAGACACGTTTTTTTTAAATTATATTGAAGTGTAAGTTGAAGATTTTATCCATGATAATATATATTTTATTTATTTAATCAATATATTGATACCTAAGTACTTAGCTGTGGAGGGCGTGATATCTAAAAATGTTATGCATATTTTTCATATCATTTTTCAATTGTGCGAGTTGTGAGTTAATCTTCATAACGATTTTTGAATGCTTTTTGATTTTCAGAAACAGCATTTTTGTTCAGTGCCTGTGCGCCAATTAGATTTTTTTCTGGAAATATCGCAAACCTTTTTATTGGAGCTATACCTACTAACGTCTCACTCAACATCGAATGGAAAATCAACAATTTGAAACTCTTATCCGTGATCTTGTTTTAGGTAATATTCATCAATGATAGACATACATGTAATATAGCGATGTACCTATCCTATATAACAAAATTAATTATCATGTAGGTACAATTTAAGAAAGATGATGGGGTGTTAAACTAAATATATTTCAAAAAGAGTCCTTCGAATAAATTTAAAAGTAAAGATGATTTTATACATTTGTCAAGGATTTTTTTTTTGCAAAAAAATCACTGGATGGAAACCCACCCTATGCCACTCACTAATCCACTTGTTAAGAGGCCAACAACAAGCCGTTAAAAATTGAGAAAAAGGGTTGATTTCCCGAGACGAGAACTCACTTATTTTGTAATATTTTTTGACCGGATTAGAAAATAATAAAAGATAATGCTGTTGTTTTAGTTTTTCGAAAAAAAAAATGCAAATTGAAAATATCACGACCTAAATACTCGAAAAAAAGCATCATTTCTATCGCTCGGTACATCCAAACCCATCGCTTTTTTTAAAAAAAATGAAACAAGAGCATTGTTCTAAATTTTATTATCTTTTCAAATCTTCTTGATTCACTCAAAAATATTAAGTAGTTTTTGAGATCTCGTCTCAAATTGTAAGCCCTGCAAACACGGAAATTCAAAAATTTTGGCTGCAGCGAGGTGTTGCCTCTGGCGGATTTAATTTCGCACCGGGGTAAGTAAAAATTACACAACGCGAGAGGACTGCAAGGCCAGTTATTAGTTTGTGTAAATGATTATGGTGAATATATTTCATAATGAACTCAAAACGAACAAAGATAACTTTACTAGAATTCAATAAACGAAAGAGGATATCATATAGCATAGTTAAATACAGTTAGTAAACGTGAAGGTTAGGAATAAAATCCATCAAAAATACAAGGTTGATTTTTTTTTCAAAAAATCTCGGATACGTCGATTTTTGATTTTAGTGGCCGTTTTTTTGATGAGAATTTCATACATTTGTCAAAACTGACATACCAACAATAAACTAACATGTTTTGATTGTTGATTTGAACCAATCAGATTGGAATTACGTGATAATTTATATTAGTGTAAATTATTGCATAGTAACTAATGCGAGAACTGGTGTTTCGACAAAAAATTTGAATTTTTGATTCATGAAATTTTCTCATAAAATACAGTATATCCACTTAAGTTCGCAGCACATGGGAAACTTTTTTATTATCAATTTTACGAAAAAAAGTTATCCTTTATAAGAGTTTCTGCTCCTTGAAAAAATAATATCAAACTATGTATTAAAAGTTGAAATAGCATGTACAGGGTGGTCAAAAAATAGAAAAATATACAGGGTATTTCCTAAGTACGGTCCGTAACTTCAGGATGTCATTCCTTACGATATTTTAACAAAAAAAGTTCCCATAAATATGTGACCAGAAATGCGTAGTTTCTGAGATAAAGGGTGTCAAAGTTTTAGAAAAAATCGTTTTTTCAGCTCAATAATTTTTCAATTTTTTATTTTTTTTAATTTGGCAGGTTGATTTGTGATAACGAAAGGTTTCTCTTGACTGAAATATGACTTGCTTAATCTGAAAAAAATATCAAAGGTTTAAAAAAATAGTGATGTGCCATTTTTTTTCTACTTTTACCAAAAAACCCTGCATATTTTCCTATTTTTTAATCCCCCTGTACCGGGTGTTTTTTTATCTTCGATATCATTTTGATCACCTGTAACTTTTTTGTTTTTGAAGTTATCAAGGTAAACAAAAAACAAAATGTAGGGTTAGTAGCCAAGTTTTTTTCAAATTACACGTAAAACAAAACACTATCAACTTTTTGACATATAAGCCTACATTATATTTTTTCAAATGGAACACCCTGTATATTATATATGTGTTCGATAAAATATCTTATTCTGATTACAATGATATAGCACACTTCATATTTTGGTCCACTCGTTTTTGACAAATCGGCAAAAATATGAAACTTTCGAAGTGAAACTTATTAGGCGGCCGGCGCCGGCCGGCGGTCTGATATTTGGGACGAAAATTATTGAGAGCATATAAAAATTTCATATATTTTTGCCGATTTGTGAAAAACGAGTGGAACAAAATATGAAGTGTGTTATATCATTGTAATCAGAATAATATGCTCTACCGAACACCCATATAATATACCGGGTGCTCCATTTAAAAATAGTACCTACATTAAAATACAAGCTTCATAAGACGTGATTTTATCGCACGAGCCCTATATTAGAAAACGAGCCGGAGGCGAGATTTTTAAAGGACGAGTGCGATAAAATGTCTTATGAAACGAATATTTTATACTATTTTTTTCTATTCTGATATTGTTTAATTTAAAAAAAAAAAAAAATTCTTGGAAATTTTATTCTCATATTTCCTGATTTCATGTTTAGGTTGGTAACATTACATGCCAAATATAGAATTAAGGGCGGGTATTATAAAACTACTTTGAGAGTTAACTTAAAGTTAATTTTTGAAATTACATGTAATTCAAAAAGTTAACTTTAAGTTAACTGTCAAAGCAGTTTTATAATACTCGCTCTAAATGTTCTATAAAATCGAGAATGACAGTGCGATGGCCATCAGTCAGCCAGTGTTACCAACTTCCGATAAGTGAAAAAGGAGTGTCACAAAGAGCTTCTATTCGAAACTACTTTTAGTGTCGAAAAGACTTCGATATGAAACCAAAATAAAAAAAATATAATGTAGGCTTATATGTCAAAAAATTGATAGTGTTTTGATGTTTTGTTTCATGTGTAACTTGAAAAAAAAACTTGGCTATTAATCCTACATTTTGTTTTTTTGTTTACCTTGATATCTTTAAAAACAAAAAAGTTACAGGTGATCAAAATGATATCAAAGATAAAAAACACCCGGTACATGCTATTCTAAGTTTTAATAGTTTAATACTATATATTTTTTCAAGAAGCAGAAACTTTCATAAACAATAACTTTTTTTTGTAAAATTGATAATAAAAAAGTTTCCCATATGTTGCGAACTGAAGCGGAAACACTGTACAACTCGTGCAATGGAAATATATTTTCAATTTTTGACAAATTTGCACTCATGCGTTTTTAACAGAAATGGGCACTGAAAATGCACTGGTGCTCTTTTTTAACTAAAAATGCATCCGGGCAAATTTCCCAAAAATTATCGACAATTTCCATTGCACTCGACATTTAGAATTTCATACATCTGTCAAAACTGACATTCCAACAATAAACTGACATGTTTTGATTGTTGATTTACGTTTTATGCGTGTATCAAACGTCAAATTATTGAAGCAATGTCAAAAAAAGCGAATCTCGCGCAAGTGAGAATTAGGCTTCACGCGATAATTGGCGCGACACTGGTGTTTTAAGATTTTTTGACAAAAAATTTAAATTTTTGATTCATGAAATTCTCTCACAAAAGCTATTTTCGGGTTCGAAAAAAGGACGGTTCTAGAACGGTTCAAAACAATCGTACAGTTCAACAATCAACTAAATGACAACGGTTCAGCTATCACAAATTTCAATAATAAACTGTGCGATTGTTTTGAACCGTTCTAGAACCGTCCTTTTTTCAAACCCAAAAATAGCTAAAATACAACTCGAGCAATGGAATTTTTAATCTTGGATTAATTTCTAAGCTGGTGTCACATGATAGTTCATGGAAAACTCAGATAAGAATGTATGATCGGTTTAGCTCTAAAATCAACCGTTCAGGTTTTACAGCCTGTCAAAGTTGCAAAAAAGTAAATTTTCAACTCTTATTATTTCCGAAACAGTTGAAGATAGGTATAGGACATGATACATAAAATAAGTTCAGAATGTAACGTAGAAATAAGAAATGAAATTAAAAAAAATCCTGTGCAGTTCACACCCGGTAGAAGTGAAACCTTCATCGAACTGCATGCATTACACACATACTAACATACACAGTGGCGAAACCACTTTTTTCCAACCCTTTCCAGAAATTTCAAAGTCTTTTCCAGATGTGTCCAAACTTTTCCAGACAATATCCAGACTTATCCAGAGTTTTACAGACTTTATCCAGATTTATCCAGACCTTATCCAGACTTGTACAGACTGATCCAGGTTCTGATAAATGATCCTCAGGTCTTTTGGGACCTTTTTCAGAATTTTTCCAACCCTTTCCAGAAATTTCCAAGTCTTTTCCAGACGTTTCCAGAGATTTCCAGACTTTTCCAGACAATAACCAGACTTATCCAGAGTTTTCCAGAGTTTTAGAGACTTTATCCAGATTTATCCAGACCTAATCCAGACTTGTACAGACTGATCCGGATTCTGGAGAATGATCCCCAGGTCTTTTGGGACCTTTGGCAGAATTTTTCCGACCCTTTCCAGAAATTTCCAGGCTCTTTTCAGACGTTTCCAGAGATTTCCAGACTTTTCCAGACTTCATCCAGATTTATCCAGACATTTTCCAGACTTGTTCCAGCTCACTTGGCTTGTTCCAGGTTCTTGTTGTGTGTTAATATAGGTAAGCGTGTTAAAAAAGTGTCGCTTTTTCGTTTCATGTCGCTTTTTCGTTTCATCGACGGCCCGTATTATAAAACACTGAACCGATGGTTGAGTTTCAACCTTCGGTTGACTCCATGCAAATTGATAGGATTCAACCGAAGGTTGAAACTCAACCGTCGGTTTAGTGTTTTATAATACGGGCCCCGAGTCTCACATCTCTCCCAACGATTCTAAAGAGGTTTTCACTTCAAAATTAATGTTTTCATTTAAAAAAATAAAGTTAGCTGTCACAACTTGTTTCTGGGTCACCCTGTATACATGATATTACCATCAGAAAAACGGCAACCGAAATCAAAAATCGATGTGTCCGAGGTTTTCATGAGCAATCTCACCAATGTGTGAAATTAACACTTTTCCTTTTTATTATTTTTCTAGGTTTTCTGGAAGTTCTTTATGTAATAAACGAATAAACATCATCTCTCCCGCCCTCGTAACTACGCCACCTCACTTTTTTTTGGTGTAAACATTTCAAGTATCTATTTTGCTGTATTTGTATAGGTAAATTTTATTATCTTCGTAATAGGTATATTTTTGTGTTTCCACACATTTCATTCTCCACATTCTTATTTATTTGTTGAATAAAAAGCACAATGTAAATTATAAAACTATTATTATAACTGTATACTTTTTAATTTATATTAAATATGATAGGTGTATTAGTTTTGCCTCCACAAAAGCCCATAGGATTTATTATTCACCTTCCATGCAATTTGATCACACCCTTCCGTTATCGCGGAAATATTTGCCGTAACGTCGTCTATCACGGTCCTACTTTGAACTCGGCGACAAAGAATGAATTTCGCGCGCTTGAATTTGTTGCTGGCCTCTTAACGGCAGCACACTTGTAGATGTTTTTTGCTTTGCATTGTTGCCAAGATCTTCTCTTGTTTGTCAAATGGTGAAAATGTAATGTAATAAATAAAAAAACGTAAAGCGTCCAGTACCTATATAACTTGCTGCAGA